TGTTTCCCTGCTCATTTTTGGATGTTGGATTTCTGTTGGACAACCTTTGTTTGATCAGCCACTCTTCCTGTAAGTGCGCTCGCCTTTTGTTGCCTTTGTTAATAAACCACCAGAACTATACCTGCTAGCCTACGTGTCCTGCGTTTGGGTCCTCCAACCTGCCTCCACAACACTAACAGTGACAGATATTGTGCACATGAAAAACATGCAAAGCAACAAAATGAATATTATTCAACATTAAGCCCAGCTTTTTACAGGAAATATCCAGATGGAACCCCCAATGTAATCATGAACATTTTCAAAGGTAACTGTAATTTAAATAGAGATTTTTTAACAGATTACAGTTACATTTATTTTGTAATTAAATTACACAACTAAATGACTGTAACTAGTTACTCCACAACACTGTCTACCAGACTTCTTGCAGCTCTCTCTGGAGCCTCAAAAGGCATAACATTTCACAATTCACATATACAGTATTACTCTGACACCTATAAACAGACTTGGATGTGAACAATTTGTGAGGTCCCCCTCTAAAAACATGTCTATCAGTGCAGGGTGATGCCAGATGCCATTACTATTAATACCTTTATGGCCAACCTTTTTTTTTATTCAGTGTGTTACAAAATGTAAGCCATGTAGACTTTTCTTTTATTGTCTGCCAGTGTCATCAGCTTTCAATAATACTCACTATGGATAGTCTTTGAGACAAAATTTGATTCCTTCTAATCATATCATAGGCCACAGAACCTTGATTACAAACAACAGCAACAAAGTGGATCGTAATCCTACTTTAACATGGATAGAATTAATTGCTCTACTAAGAAGGATAGTTTGAGTAAAAATAATGTGGGCTTCACTTATAATTATTGTAATTTTTTGTTTTTGCGTACTTTTATACTAATAAAATCAAGTTTGTGTTTTGTCAGAGGAATATGAGGGATAATCAGATACTGGGACTCGCTGATCTGCTGTGTAGATGTTGCAGTATTTGCATTGACAAGTGCATAACGAGTGTGGCTCTTTCCTCTTCAATTGAGCCTGAAAAAGAAGACCGATCTGAACATTACATCAAACACACACACGCACATATACACTATTAATGTCTAATATTATTATATCTTGCGAGAGGGCTTTATGAAAACACACACACACACAGACAGGGAGTGCATGACTCACTCTGTGTTCATTAGTAAGGAAGTTAAAGATGCATCACCAATGTTGGAGGAATAGTGGATATGTAGCATCAGATACAGTACATGTTTACTTAATGATTACATTTGTAACACTGCACTCCTCTTTGGCAAAGTATTAATAGTAGTAGTAATTACACATACACACACAGAGAAAGAGAGACATTGTCATGCTATATATCAGTACAGATATTATGTGTTCGGTCCTGATATTTCTTGCAACAGGAAAAAAAATGATGAAATGAAAAAGGATGGCAACAAACTAAAACATTATGGGACATTACATTTTTTTTGCTCAACAAGATTTCCTCTGTGTTTTAATCTCTTTCACTTCACTAAGCCTCAACCTTTTTTTTAATATAATATGCTCACTGGCTCCAAAAAACCAAGATGGCTACGCCCAAAATGCCAAAGTCAAGGCTTTAAACCAGTTGTCCACAAACCAATGGGTGATGTCACAGTGGCTACGTCCACATCTTTTATACAGTCTATGATATAAACCCACTTAAAAAGAAAAACACATAACATGTACTTCTTATTCCTACATGAGCTAAAAAGAAATCTTTTCATATACAACCTACACTGTATCATTAAATTGTCATTTTGTAGTATCTGTGAACATAAGTTTTCACTTGTAAGTTTAAGTGAAATCTCAAAGCCTCAATCTGAATTTAAAAAATATGAGGTCTTGTGTCATGGCAGTATATTTATTTTCCATGCAGATAAGTCACAGCTGCTTACTAACTATGCTGTATTGCACTGGCCTAATATTTAAAATAGTATTATAAATATAACTAAAAGATATATAAATGTATAATTTACTGATGGGCATAAATACATCAGAAGAAAACTATACTGGTGTTGAGATCTTTTAAGGTAAATACTTGGTTGACAGTAAGAGACATTTACATATCTGGTTAAATAGCAAGCCTTTCAGTGTGCAGCACACACAAATATTGACATCATAAGGCTGTGCAAAACACACACCCACACCAACCTAGAACACCTTATCAGCTTTTTGTTAATTAAAAGCCAAGCAATACATTTTCTACTTCATCCCCTCCACAAGAGTGAAACACTTCCTGGAGAAATTACTCAGTAGCAATCACTTAATATCTTATTTACAAGGTGGGTGTGTGTGTGTGAGTGCGCATGTTTGTGTGTGCTTGTGTGTGTAGTTATGTAAAAGTGTGATTGTGTATGCGTTATTGATTCACATTCAATCTTTGTACCTGCTCCTTCCTATTCCTAGTCAGACTGAACCCATCCCAGCATGCATTGGGCAGAAGGCAGGGAAAAAAATAAACACCCTGGATAGGTCGCCAGTCTATCAAAGAAATGGCCAAACAAGACTAAAAGGCCTTTGCACACCAAGTCTGTATGATTTTTTAAAATCTATAAACCTATAAAAAGCGTTACACACAGATATCTTGCACATGGAGTCCAATGCTTTTTATTATTCTACTTGTTCCAAAAATTCATAATACGAGACAAATTGGAGCTGTCAAACAGTAACAATGATTTTGTGGACACCTGTTACTCGGTCTCTCGCTCCTTCTCTCTCATTTCCTCTTTTGCTTCTCTTCAGTGAAGGAATCTCTCAAGGCTGTCGCCATGCTCGGCCTTGAGTCTTTAATTTGGCACCGTGGCTACCTGAAGGGCCTGAACTGTTCTCCCTCTCTGTCTTATGCTATCCTGATCCTGTATTTCATCCTCCTCATCATTATCTGCCTGAACATTACTATCTGACACGCTTAAAGCTCAAGATATCTGAGTCATGAAATGATACTGTGCTTTCGATGGATGCGAAAAAAACGCAAGTGAACCCTGTTCTGAAAACTTTAACATAATGTGATGTACACTGTTGAATTTACTTTTGGCTTGTTACACTCTTTTCTTCAGTTCAATCTCACCTTCCATGTCAAACAGGACAATATGCAGCTCTAAAAAATGATGTAAAAAAGATCCACACAGGCTATAGAATGGAGGCAATTTGTGATATCGGGTCTTAATTTTGTCAATTAATGTTTATCCATCACATTTGGTCACATATACATTGTACAGTACAGGTTGAACATGTTTTTGGAATCAATTTGTTCTGATGAATTGCCCTTATTATCATTAATTCTAAAATTACATATTTCTCCTTCAAGTTCCTCTTCAACTTAACATCCCACAGTGGCACCTGTATGCTAGCAACAAAACCAGGTATCATGGATGGGAAGGTGACCTTAGATTGTGACCTCCTCTGACTCTCTGGAGTCATGCAGATAATATACACATATCATCAGTTGCAATTACCGTATAAATTCATTGTTTGCTTCTACAGTAAAGAGCACAAAGAACTTGTTTGCTGAGAGACATGCTGCTTACTGAGTTCAAACCTCAAAATGGGCACAGGTGGCTCCAGTTTCGAGTCTGATTTATTAAAGACAGGGTAGGCAAGTTGCTTCTGAAACACTTTTTGTCATATTTGTTGAAACTGTCTTTATACACCAATGCATATTAAAAGGTTAGGTGCTCTGAAAAAGAGAGAATAAAAATCGTCTGTCTGTAGTCCTCTCAGGGCTTCAGTAAACACAGCCATTCGTTGCATTCGGACCGAATGCAATGATTGGCTGGCTGACTGTCACTCTCCCTCGCTGCCATGGCTACCAGCCGTGCTGCTACAGGAGCTGCCCCCGGGCGCGCACCCGGTCAGCTCGCTCAGACCTGATGAGCGAAGCGGTCAGACCGGAGGTAATATATGCGTGGCTTTTCAACGATAGTGACTGACAACTGAGGAACACAAAGGAGCCGAAACGTTACACCGTGGTCGCTTTATTTCTGCTGGACAGGTAATCTGGCTTTTATCATTTTGATGGTAATTTGTTACTTTCATCGCTAGCAAACGTAGCTACCTACTTAGCATACAGCTAACGGTTGCTATGAGTACAGGCTGGTGTAGCAGCCAGAGTAGCGAAGATGAATTATATCTAGCTGTAGGTGAGCTGGAAAACAGCAGCGCAAGCTGTGTTTTCCAAAGCTAATATTAGGTAAGATACCGTTTGTTTTATTTCTACTGTGCCCTCAGGTCACCTGTAGATTTGGAGTCTTTCATAGCCCTGTACTTCTCACCAGCATACGCTGATTGGTCCATGCTGGCTGGCCAGGATTATAACCACCATGTCCACAGACCAGCCAGGAGAAAAGCTGATGACACAATTCAGTATGTTGCATTATGAGTACTCTTGTGCATTTTACTCAATACATTTATAAGTGATGAGTCAAAAACTATTAAACAGTATGAGGAATACAGATAGATGGTGCTGATTTATTGTTATTGCTTGCATTTTATGTGAAAATGTTAACTACTCTATAAGAGAACAATGTCAGGTGTTACAAACTTTTCACTTTTTATGCTGCAAGTGTAAAGAAAAGGCATTTATCATTTTCAATGTTTTATTTAAAAAAGAATGAAAATATTATTCAGAACAGGGAAAATATCTTTGTATTTTTCTACCCTCCTGGGCATAAAAAGAAAACAATGTACAGGTATTCATTCACACAGTGGAGGGAATTATTTGTGTAGCAGTTGGTGACATTACATTTTACACCCTGCTAGGATTAAACCTCTGTATTGTCCTGGTGGATCAGGATAACAGTTGCATATCTTCCAGAAACAGCAACATAGTATCACGACTCTGTGACCAAGTGCTCCACATTGCCACACTGCAAACTGTCTGTATGCTGCCTGGCTGAACTGTCTGTTACTCTGTCCTGGGTCTGGAAGGTCAGCCATGTGTGGTGCATGGAAACACTGTAGTCTAGATGTTGTCCACAGTCCTTAGATTCCTGCCTGTAAAGGAATATATACAGTGGGTACGGAAAGTATTCAGACCCCTTTAAATTTTTCACTCTTTGTTTCATTGCAGCTATTTTCCAAAAATCAAAAAAGTTCATTTTATTTCTCAGTAATGTACACTCAGCACCCCATCTTGACAGAAAAAAACAGAAATGTAGAAATTTTTGCAAATGTATTAAAAAAGAAAAACTGAAATATCACATGGTCATAAGTATTCAGACCCTTTGCTCAGTATTTAGTAGAAGCACCCTTTTGATCTAATACAGCCATGAGTCGTTTTGGGAAAGATGCAACAAGTTTTTCACATCTGGATTTGGGTATCCTCTGCCATTCCTCCTTGCAGATCCTCTCCAGTTCTGTCAGGTTGGATGGTAAACGTTGGTGGACAGCCATTTTCAGGTCTCTCCAGAGATGCTCAATTGGGTTTAAGTCAGGGCTCTGGCTGGGCCATTCAAGAACAGCCACGGAGTTGTTGTGAAGCCACTCCTTCGTTATTTTAGCGGTGTGCTTAGGGTCATTGTCTTGTTGGAAGGTAAACCATCGGCCCAGTCTGAGGTCCAGAGCACTCTGGAAAAGGTTTTCGTCCAGGATATCCCTGTACTTGGCCACATTCATCTTTCCCTCGATTGCAACCAGTCGTCCTGTCCCTGCAGCTGAAAAACACCCCCACAGCATGATGCTGCCACCACCATGCTTCACTGTTGAGACTGTATTGGACAGGTGATGAGCAGTGCCTGGTTTTCTCCACACATACCGCTTAGAATTAAGGCCAAAAAGTTCTATCTTGGTCTCATCAGACCAGGGGATCTTATTTATCACCATCTTGGAGTCCTTCAGGTGTTTTTTAGCAAACTCCATGCAGGCTTTCATGTGTCTTGCACTGAGGAGAGGCTTCCGTCGGGCCACTCTGCCATAAAGCCCCGACTGGTGGATTGCTGCAGTGATGGTTGACTTACTACAACTTTCTCCCATCTCCCGACTGCATCTCTGGAGCTCAGCCACAGTGACCTTTGGGTTCTTCTTTACCTCTCTCACCAAGGCTCTTCTCCCCCGATAGCTCAGTTTGGCCGGACGGCCAGCTCTAGGAAGGGTTCTGGTCGTCCCAAACGTCTTCCATTTGAGGATTATGGAGGCCACTGTGCTCTTAGGAACCTTAAGGCAGCAGAAATTTTTTTGAAACCTTGGCCAGATCTGTGCCTTGCCACAATTCTGTCTCTGAGCTCTTCAGGCAGTTCCTTTGACCTCATGATTCTCATTTGCTCTGACATGCACTGTGAGCTGTAAGGTCTTATATAGACAGGTGTGTGGCTTTCCTAATCAAGTCCAATCAGTATAATCAAACACAGCTGGACTCAAATGAAGGTGTAGAACCATCTCAAGGATGATCAGAAGAAATAGACAGCACCTGAGTTAAATATGAGTGTCACGGCAAAGGGTCTGAATACTTATGACCATGTGATTTTTCAGTTTTTCTTTTTTAATAAATTTGCAAAAATTTCTACATTTCTGTTTTTTTCTGTCAAGATGGGGTGCTGAGTGTACATTACTGAGAAATAAAATGAACTTTTTTGATTTTTGGAAAATGGCTGCAATGAAACAAAGAGTGAAAAATTTAAAGGGGTCTGAATACTTTCCGTACCCACTGTAGTTGTTAGTACCCCAAATTGGAAAGATCTGTGTAATAGGACAGAACATTCATCAACATGATCAGATATTTTTATTGAACAGGGTTTTGTTGTTCTCTAACAGGACTTCTGTGTCCACATTACACACCATGTCAAGAGCTGTAGTTAGTTGTTGTAATCAGTAAACGATAATAAAAAAAAGTAATAGTGATGGATTACATTTATAAAGCATTTATTTTTGACAGTCAAAGGGCTTAGGGGGAAACACCAGAGAAAACTAACTAAGTACACTGGGAGATAATAGACTAATATTAAAATATGTATGTATAGATATACCTGTTCATATACTGTTTTTGGAGCGTGAAGCTCGACGCAGGTCCTAGAAGATGTGCTCCTTGGCTTGCACCTGGTCCTCCCCGTCCTGCCTTTTCTTCCTCAGACCCCGGCAGCCCTCCCTCCTCTGCTTCGCCTCAACCCCGGACCTGTCCCGGTTTGTGCTCGGCTCTGGGGTGTAGTCCTTATTAGAGACAATAATGCTGTCACCACGGAAGCTCTAACATGCAAAACAACGTACATGTTATGAGTCTAACATGAAATACACGTTCGTGTAGTGTAACTGATGGAAACGGGAAAATGTGTATCAGCCTGTTTTTAGCTTTGTCTAATGTTACCGCAGCTGTTAGCACAGCTACCTGTTGCTAACAGTTAGCTAGCCAGCTCGTTACTGATTAAAACTCAGCCTTTTTAAACCTATCCAATAAAAACATGCTAGCTTGATAGTGAGTACTAACAGCCGGGTTAGTTCATGATGATAAAGTTAGATGTTTTCTTACCCCTGACGTGAGCCGCTGCTCTCCACTTGTCACACTGTCCTCATCCTCCTGCGGTGTCGGCAACGCGCATTCACGTGTTTTGGGGGCGTGGCTTTGGAAGGAGCCCAGAAGGGAGGGGGTGGGAGTTTCTCTGTTGGATACTTTCAAAATCCAGCAGTTTCTGGCTAGTTTCTCAAACTTACCTACCCTGCCTTTAAGATCAGTTGTGCAAAACTGTATATAACTCACACACACACACACACACACACACACACACACACATTAATACTCCATGATGACAATGTGAAAGAAGTTTGTTTGAAATCTTTGCAAATTTATGAAAAGTAAAAAACAAAAAAAAAGTATTATTAATAGACTTTGCTCAATACTTTGTTGAAGCACCTTTGGCACCGATTACACCTCAAGTCTTTTTGAGTATGATGCTACAAGCTTGGCGCATCTATTTTTTTTCCCCCCATTCTTCTTTGCAGGACCTCTCAAGCTCCATCAGGTTGGATGGGGAGCGTAGGTGCACAGCCATTTTCAGATCTCTCCAGAGATGTTCAATTGGGCTGAAATCTGGGCTCTGGCTGGGCCCCTCAAGGACATTCACAGAGTTGTCCTGTAGCCGCTGCTTTGTTATCTTGGCTGTGTGCTTAGGGTCATTGTCCTGTTGGACGATGAACTTGAGATCATTGGGTTCTTGGTCACCTCCCTGACTAAGGCCCTTCTCCCCTGATTGCTCAGTCGGGCCAGGCAGCCAGCTCCAAACTTCTTCCATTTATGGATGATGGAGGCCGCTGTGCTCATTGGAACCTGCTATGCTGCAGAAAAATTTCTGTACCCTTCCCCAGATCTGTGCCTCAATACAATCCTGTCTTGGAGGTCTACAGATAATTCCTTGGACTGTGGGACCTTATATGGACAGGTGTGTGCCAAATCATGTCCAATCAACTGTTGCAGAAACGTCACAAGGCTAATCAGTGGAAACAGGATGCACCTGAGCTCAATTTTGAGTGTCATGGCAAAGGCTGTGAATACTTACGTACATATGTACGTACATACATTTTCGTTTTATATTTTTAATAAATTTCTAAACATTTCAAACAAACTTCTTTCACATTGTCATTATGGGGGATATTGTTTGAAGAATTAGGGAAAATAATGAATTTCATCCATTTTAGAATAAGGCTGTAACATAACAAAATTTGGAAAAAGTGAATACTTTCCAGATGCACTGTATCTACTGAAGTTGACATGCTAATCCTAAATTTAAGAGAATTTGTGACATTCAACAATTTTTTCAGTCAATTTCAGTCTTTGTCAACAGCAGACAAAAAGCACTTGTTTGACTTGAGAATCATCATGCCATAAGAATGAATTTCAGAATCAGATTTATTGGCAAAGTATGTGTACACATACAGGGAATTTGACTAATTTGGAGTTTAAATATACCACTGCTTAATGCTAAATTTAGCGATCGACTTCTGTCACAGTACAGCGCTGTTCTATTGATACATCTTTGGCGGCTGTATAAATAATGTTTTAGTCGTTGTTTGGGTTGTAGTGGGACAACAGTGTGGATTTGTGCATTTTATATTAAATAAATTTGGAGCTACTCCAAATTCCTCTTTTCCTCTCCCAGAGAGGAGTAGGGAGGTGGAGATCAACTTTCAACAGACGGCTGAAGAGACCCCAACAGAATGGGGGTGGAAAGGTTGCTTTCTCTAAGTGCTATTCCTGAGCAGTTGATCGTAGAACTGGCACGTTTTGATTCCGATGCCTGATAACGCGGTGCCTGACTTTTAAACTGACAAAAGGAGGGTCCAAGGAGAGTTCTCCCCCCACACACGTAACCGTAGCAACTGACCTTGCTCTGTGTTTCATTACCCCATCAAAGGGATACCCCTTCACGCCTAAGTGACAAAATCCAGGACCGTCCTGAACTTTTTGTAAACAAAGACTGCAGTCTCCAAAGACTCAAAGCATTAACTGATGATAAAGAAATGTCATACTATACTCTATTAATTGCCGGCTTGAATTTAAAGCTAAATAACTAAATTCCCCAGTTCCTAAGGAAAGATTGTTTTGGATTAATCTAAGCTTTCCTCATGTAACCTGAGCTCCCCCAAGTGGACGAAAAAAGTTACATACCATCGTCGGAAATGCCGTTAATGTATAAATGTCACTCATTATTTAACATGACCAATAATTTGACAATTGTTTTCCTGTTACCAAATGCTTAACTTAGAACAGTACAACTGTTTGACCACTGAGGTTTGATTGTGGAAATATTTGATTATAATACACGCAAATAACTTTTATAGACACTAAAAGTTTAGAAAGACAGTCCCTCGGGAAACCGGAAACGCTCCCTGTCGGGAACAAAGGACTGCCCTCTGGGGAACCACGCCCCAGACAACAAAAGAGCGACACACGACGTCGCCCACTCTCTTCTCCTTTTCGATTCGACCAGCGCAACGAAGCCTTTGTTTGCTTGAAGCTACACACGCGAAGTGCCGCGACATCGATTTGTACCTCAGTCCCAGCAACATCATTTGTTTTATTTTCTTTCTTTCTTTTGGTTTTGTTAAAGTTATCAGTCCGTTAAGTTACACTGGTCTAATTTAGGAACGACCAAGTTCCCCCTTTTAAGCTTTTTCGTCGAGCTAAGCCCACGGAGGTCGGACGACGCCACGTGTCCCGCCAGCAACCACAAAGGACGACTTAAACCTGACCCGAGATAGGGTCGGGAAGGCCCCACTGCAAGTCTTTCATAAGCCTTCCAGAGACGGACCCCCGGAGAAGTTCCCTGGCAGAGAAAGCTTTAAGTTGTCCTAACCGAGAACGCACGGACTCTGCCAGTGTGAGGCCGTTTACCATCAACCCGGCGGGAAGAAACGCAAGCAGTAAGACCAAAACCTTACATTCTGTGGTCAGTGACGTCCAATAGTTGCTAATCCATTTTTCTTTAGTCCAGCATATGGAATCTTTATACCCCTAGACAAATTTAACCGAGTTATCATCTAATTGCATTCGTTAGTTGCCGTATGAGTCAAATGCTTCCCACAATCAAACCTCCATTTCTCATTGTTCAGGCACTGTTTATTGCCCTGATGTATTTAGCCACCCTTTTATATCGCTTTAGTTAGTTAATAAATTCACCGTAATCAAGGAATTGTGTGTGTTGACTATTTCCACGTCCCTGCCAAGAGAATTGACCCTTTAGATATGAGACTGACTGACTGATTTAAGACAATTGAGCGATTATTAACTAACTGATCCCTAGTGAATAATTGTATAGTTATTAAAAGCTACCTAGAGGTCCGGAGACTCTAGGATAATAACAACTCCAGTGGTGCTCCGAAACAAGAGATTTATAATATTTAAAAATATAATATTTTCTGAATATTAAAATTCATAATTGGGTATTAATTCTCATAAATTTATTAAAAGTCATAGCTAAGTTTTGGACATGCTACAGAGTACACAAACACAACCACTCACTTTGCTAAACTTCTAAATTCAGAGGTGCAAAAGTCTTCTTTTAACTCTTTAGTAACATTTTGTGAATGAAACCTACCTACAAATAGAGCAGAACAGGTAGCCATAGATGTTAATTTTCAATTTTAAGGAGTCATCAATCAAGCTAATAATCAAATCTCCCTCACTTCCTAATGAACAGGTGGCATTCATTAGGCTGAAATGAGCAATGTAGTTTGTCCAGTTAAAAGAGTTTGGTGAATTAGACTTGAAACACTTGTATGAGCAAATGTCTTGATAAAAAGTGAGAGCGGTTTAGGATAAAAATAATGGGCATCATGCAAGAACCACTTATTTGTTCTTAAGTGGCTTGTACAAGTAACTAAGGAGAACTTGCCACATTCTCCAATTTTCTTGTATTTTGAATTTTCTCTCATGCACGAACAAAATTCATGATCCAGACCAGTCACAAGAGTAATGAGCCGTTAGTCTTGCGTTATCCCAACCTACGTTTTTCACTAATGGATTGCATATTTCATTACAATTTTGAGTTTAAAAATCCTATATAAATGAAACCGTTAGTTTTGTATGTACCTGGCTGCTTTCACGGCCAAAGATAAACATGCAGCTTGGCTAATGGGTCATTTCATTATTGAGCAGAAAAGGAGAAAGAAAGGAGCAAGGAGAGAGAGCAAAAATGAAGTGGCATTTCAGTGCAGAAGAGGTTTTAGAAATGGTCTTGCAGCGAGCTGCAGGACTCATTTGAAGAAGACACAACCTCAAGGGGAAGTCTGACACGGAAGGCTCAGTCTGATTTGTGCTGTCCAGTCATGGTCAGGATGGGCAGGATCCTCGGTGTCCTCTTGTCCACTTTCAGAGGAAGGTTCAGAGGATCTCATAGAAGTCGAGGACTCCACTGAGCATTTCATGTCAGACTCTCCCTCAAAGCTTGTGTCTTGATACACACACGCACACACGCGCGCACGCTCGCTCACACACAAAAAAACTTGGGGCCCCCTGGTGGTTACATGGCTCCATAAAAATACAAGAATTTCATGCCTTGGCCTACCATGGGAAATGGTTGAATCTGGTAGAATACAGTAAAAATGTCAAATATAACCACTTTTCTTCTAAATGAAATGCTGACATTACAGAATGCATGGTTTTATACTGTAATGGTATAAAAGTGAGATTAAAAAGTGTGTTTTGAATGGAATTCAGTGAGGCCTCTTTTGCCACAAAGGTGTCCAGAGGGAGTATTTTGCAAATCTCTCAAATAATTCAACTGGCATTTAAAGGGTTAAAATCCTGAAAATGATTGAATATTTGGTATTTTTGAGCAGGGAAGAAATTGTTTAAGTGATTTATGAAAAAAAAGCATAAACAAATATTGATGTATAATGATTTTATTTCATCATCATTTAAAGGGTTAAAATCCTGAAAATTATAAAATATTTGGTAGTTCTGAGTAAGTTTGAAGTTGTTTAAGTTATTTATGAAAAAGAAACATTAAAAAAAATATTGATGTAAGATGATTAAATAGCAGTTTATTTGTGCATGTACATTTTTGCCACGAAGGTTTCCAGAGGGTGCAAAATTTGAGGAGGGCCTAAGGGTTGTTAGGAGCATTTGCCGAATCTGACATGGCACACTCAAATGAGCCCAATGTACAAACAAAGTAAGAGAAAGTTAAGATAATAATACCACATTTTTGTTTGTTTGTAGCTGATTTTCCTAATATCAACAAAGTCTCACCTCTGAGATTACCCTATTGCGCACGAATGTGCCACTGATCACCAGGGA